TATAGAGCGACCACTAGTCAATGCATCGGCTAGGTTTTCAAATGCTTCTCTAACCGATTTCAGTCCATGATGAAATCCTGTAACTAATAAGTATGTTTAGCATGAGACGTGTTTATAAATATAAGACTCGTCCGACTGATTGAAGTAGCTAGGATATCTGCTAAGTATACCCAACCACAGGACTCCTCGGTGATTAATGTTATCGGAAGATGGAATAGGTCGGGTAAGAACCAAGGATGGTCATGCCAACATGTGAAATCATTTCATGAAGAAGTCAGCTGCTGGTCGGAGTCATACGAATAAATGCAAGGTGTCTGACTGGGATCGTCGCAATTTTAAGAATCACAGGTTAGAGACTTTGTGTTACGACAATAGCGCAAACATATTCACTCCTTGACATCTCTAGCATTCTGAACATTAGTGAATTATTCTATCGACCACATGTTTTCGTCCACTTAACATGTTTACTTTTATCATTTTTCTAAACGCGCCTAGCCATTTTTAAAGGTTTTTAGGCCACCAAATAGAATTTACAAGGGAAAGCCTGGACAAAATACAAGATAATTAGTCTCGTCGACAACTACGTTAATTTCGATAGAGAAAGGAAACCAAACGTATGAAACGTTAATATTCGGTTATCTTGCTTGATGATGCGCAGCACGATTTTCAAGGAAACCTTGTCCTGCCCCACAAGACTGATTGGGATAAAAGTAGAATTATAAGTGGTCTTCTCTCTCCACTGTATGAACGAGATACTGCTGACAATCAAGTTATGCTACCTGATCCATGCCGATGTTAAGCTTTAGGGAGCAAGGGGCTTATGTAATGATAGTGACAGATCTTCTGTGCTACAGTATAATAAATGACGTCTAAAAATTAATACAAGTAAAAATAGAGTTAGGAATTATCTCTGTGAAAAAGGAGAGTGGCATTTTTACGTTGTGAAGTAAATTCTGCTTTTGTTGTTTAAACCACATCAGAAGCTTTTTAGTTCATTTTAACTGATTTATTTAGTTGAAGTGTTGTTCATATTATTCAGTTTGTGTTTTGTTTGGTATTTGCCTCGCTTTTTTCACGTATATATATTTGTGAATTTGGTTGGTATTTACCTCGCTTTTTTCACGTATACATATTTGTGAATTTGGTTGGTATTAACCTCACTGTTTTCACGTACATATATTTGTGTTGTTGAAACAAATTAGCGTTATGGGTCCGAATAACAATTGTGGACGACCGGATTGCCACTTTCCGGTGGATGATGGTATGCAGTGTGACAACTGCAGCCTATGGTTCCACAAGGTTTGCACTGGTCTATCACCAGTAGCCTATAAGAGAGGCTGTGCAAATTTTGCAGTAACCCGTTGGATGTCCTCATCCAAGAGGCAGTGGGACTCCTGATGTCCAAGAAATTGACGAAAAACATAATTGAAAAACCTGTACCAGATATCTTAGCTAAAAATGGCGGTTCAGGACATAATTTTAAAACTGAAGGTGTATCGCCACCTGAAGCTTCAGAGGCAAAAGAGCGCCCAAATATCTGTCGAGGCAAAGCGCAAACGACAAAGGAAATCTAAAAGGGCAAGTAGTGCCAGCATGGCAACACCAGCCTGTGAAATGGCCACTCCAAAGCGCAGCGTGTCTAGTGCACGAATGGCCTCTAGTCGCGGCGAAAACAAAGTGGAAGAAACTGACTCCACTTGGTTGGTGCCGACAGGTAAGAAGCAAAATAAACGTAGGAAAGAAACAGCAACCGAGTTCACCAACAAGGTCTCGACGGCTGTTAATACCAGCCAAACTCAGAAACCCACGGACTCAAGTTACAGTATTATCATGTGGAATTTGGAGGAATCTAAGAACACAGATCCAGCTGCCCGACATATAGATGATCTGAAGGCGGTCAGCTCCATAATCCGGGAAATACTTCCCGAAAAAACAATTGGAGTTCACGTAAGAAAAGCCATCAGGATCGGAAAACGAAACCCTGATGCTACGGAAACTTCTCGACGACTACTTAAGATAGTTTTAGGGAACGAAACAGAGAGAAGCACCATCCTCAACAACGCGTTCAAAATTAACGATGAGAGTTTAAAAATAAGGCCTGATTGGCCTTTAGAAGATAGAATCAAAAGAAGAGAAGCCGTGGCTGAACTTAAGGCCAGGCTAGAGAAAGGTGAAAAAGACCTCAAGCTATTGGGTTTTCGGGTGGTGAAGTCTCGGAAACCGATGCTGCCGAGACCTCTCTTCATAAGCCGGATGAACACGTAGGTGTTTCGGTGTGCTATACGAACGCATGTAGTCTTAGGAATAAGCTCGCCAAATTATGAGAATTATCTGAAAGACTACAACCTGATGTGATTGCTATCACTGAGACATGGTTGTTAGTGGGTGTAAACTTAACTCCACTCACTTGAGGGCGTGGGGTAGTAGAAATAGGTGTCTGGTTGTTAGCGACTTTAATGCTCCACACATTAACTGGGGGGAATTAAACTCCACTAGTTTGTATACCTGTTTCAATAGGGAGTTCACATTGACAGTGCTTGAATGTGCACTCGTGCAACATATGCATGCACCAACACGGTATCACCCGGAACATGATCCATCTACTCTAGACTTGGTATTAGCACACCAGGAGGACGTTGGTGACATTAGGTGCCTTCCGCCGCTTGGCAGCAGTGACCATTGCTTTTACGTTTAAGATTCATTCTCTCATACACAGGTCAAAACCTGCTCGTCCAAACATTTGGAAAGCGGATATACAAGGAATATGGAACGCAGCAACTGCAGTCGACTGGACAGCAGATACAAGTCGGACTGTCGAGAAAGCTTGGGTAGGATTTAAGAATACACTAGATTGTGTCACTTCACCTTTTATACCTTGGTACACTCCTCGAAAGCTATCGCACAAGTGAAATAAGGAGGCTATTAAGACGGCGAAAGAACTTATAGGACCAATTTATTATGACAGGAAGGGAAAGTTTCCAGAAAGACTACCGCAAAATTCGAAATCTCTGTAAGTATGCGATTAAGAAGAGTCGTATAGAATACGAGAGACGGCTTGTACTAGATTGTGTTCACTACCCAAAAAGGCTCTCGTATATTAAACGTAGGACTAAAACTAGCAATGGTATACCTTCACTCATAAGCATTAGTGGAGAAGCGGCTGAGTCAGACGAAGGAAAGGCTGAATAATTCTGTGACGTCTTCTCGTCTGACAGTACCACCCAGGGATATGGTGAGGTCACTGCCATCGCCACTCAGATGCCTTCAATTGTGCACACAAAGGTCCTCAAACTACTGTCTAAACTGAAGCCAGGTAAATCACCTGGGCCTGATGGACTTCACTCTAAACTGTTAATTTCCTTGGCGGATATAATATATATTCCGCTTGCGGAGATTTTCCAAATGTCACTGACCCAGGCTGAGCTACCCAGGGATTGGAAGGATGCCATTATAAGCCCTATCTTCAAAGAGGAGGACAGGCAATTGGTATCTAACTACAGGCCGGTAATTCTGACATGCATTATAGCAAAGGTAATGGAAACTATTATAAGGGATCAGCTATTAGCTTATGTTGAAACATATGGCTTACTGGCAGTTGAACAGCATGGATTCCGACCAGGACGATCCTGTTTGACAAACTTACTGTTAGCTAGGGAAGATTGGGTCGAGGCCAGAGATAAAAACCTTCTGTTGGATGTGGTTTTTATTGATCTTAGCAAGGCATTCGACTAAGTATCCCACTTAGGTCTCCTTAGTAAAGGTTTCGGACTAGACCAATGCCTATGTGAGTGGTTTAGGGATTACCTAATGGATAGAAGGCAGAAGGTTAGAGTTAACGGTGTACTATCAGGGTGGAAAGCAGTATCCAGTGGAGTGCCTCAGGGAACTGTATTAGGCTCCTTGTTATTCCTATTATACGTTAATGAGCTACCGGGGATTCTTACTTCATCTTCATTGTTATTTGCAGACGAAATTAAGATATGGAAAACTGTAAATAATAACGAGGGTAGGTCGGCCCTACAAACTGATCTAGATAAATTAGCTGAGTGGTCGAACCTGTGGAGTTTGGAAGTGAATTCTAGGAAAAGCGCGGTAATGCACTTAGGTCAGAAGTTTTATACGTCGTACTCCCTAGGGGACACAGAACTACCTGATGTTAGCGAACAGAAGGACCTAGGAATCATTGTCAGCAATGATTTGAAAACAACTGCAAATTGCAATGCATCCGCAGCTGAGGCTTTTCGAATGCTATGGGCACTTCGATGGGCTTTCAAACTATTAGACGAGGGCATGTTCCAAATACTCTACGCAACATATGTCAGGCCTCATCTAGAATACTGCGTACAAGCGGCGGGTCCATGCTTCAAAATGGAGGCACATATCCTGGAAAGAGTACAGGGAGTAGGAACGAAATTAGTTAGTGGTATCTCACACCTTCCTTATGATAAGAGGATGGAGCATTTAAATCTCTTTCCGTTATCATACCGAAGGAAGAGAGGCGACTTAATTTTAGAATACCATATACTTAAGGGTGATTTAGCAACTGACCTTTCTAAACTTTTCTCCCCTTCTAGGATACATTTACGGGGTCACCGCAAAAAGGTGCTAAAACCGAGGACGTGCAGAATTTAGATTCTCTCACAGAGTGGTCAACGTCTGGAACTCCTTACCTGATTCAGTAGTAAAAGCTCCATCGGTGAACGCTTTCAAAGAGAAGTTAGATCTCTGCAGAGATATATTTTGCAAGGATTAACACAGGCCACAAGAGCCGTCTATCCTTATCAACTGAATCCGTCCTTTATCCCTAAGGTATCCCTGATGACTTTAAAATTATACATAGGCATTAATGTAGCACGGAAAATATGAGCTGTGGACTCCACACTAAAAGCACTAAAACATTAGGTACTATAGTACCTAGGTATACCTACCTGGTATGATGACCTCGGGATTGCAGGAAAGGACTTTAAATCAGCCGCCAAGCAGATTTCGTCGCTGATTGGCTAAAATGGAGGGAGTTGTGTTTTAACGGACTTTTGGACTATATAAATTCCACTTAGGTCACCGTAGAGTGACCTGTAGCGAGTAACTATGGCAAATGGACGTAGCTTTCGAGCTAGCTTGTGAAGCCCTTAGATGCAATGAGGTGCCAGTTGGATGTGCGTTTGTTTACAAAGGAAAAGTAATTGTTACGGGTCGAAATGAAGTATGATTTCTTTTGAGACTTATGTTACATGCAGGTGAATGCAACGAGAGATGCCACTCAGCATGCCGAGATGGTAACAATAAAGCGTTTAGAACAGTGGTGCAAAGAGAATAAAAAGGAGTTTAGCCAAGTATTGGCTGATTGCAAGCTGTATGTTACAGTAGAACCATGTATAATGTGCGCCTCTGCACTGCGTTATTGCCTTCCTACTAACGTGAAAAGGTATGTACATTTATTTTGACTTTTCGCTTGGCTAGTGTCATATATGGAGCCTGTAACGAACGTTTTGGAGGCTGTGGTTCAGTTCTTAACGTTCATAATGCTCCTGGGTCAGTTCCTGCACTGAACTGCATTTCTGGCATTGAAGCCGATAAAGCTATTGTATTGTTGAAAAAGTTCTATTCACAAGAAAATGAAAATGCACCAGAAGAACTTCGAAAGCGCAAGTGTGTCTCGAAGATCGACTGACAGACCCGTTAAATTTCTGCATAAATAATTTTTGTAATCCAGTCCTAGTTCTGTAACAAGTTGGTCTCATTCACTTCATCGCCTTATTTTTCTCCATCCTGCTTCAAGTAAAACTTGATTCCGGTTTCGGTGTAAAACATATGTGTAACTGTGTTTACCTTTAAAAGAGGTAATACCTCTAAAGTTATGACAATGTTGAAGCATCACTACAAACGAAGTAGTCATTTGTCTGGTTCATAAGTGGAAAAAAGTGGACATTTAATTCTGGTGTGGTGTTTCATAATTTGATATGAAAAAGTATTCGAGGTGCAATGTTCTAGTGTTAAGTTCTCCATAGCATATAAGTCTATTTTACGTTCCTGTCACCTATGTATGTGGGTATACTCTGAGACCTCAGGCTCAAATTATCTAGGTAGAATGTTTCGTTCCATACATTTCAAAATAAAAAGAGGTATGTCTAGGAAACACAAGTATCCCATACAAAATAATGCAGTCATATGAAACAAAAAGAATGGAGGGATACTGCAATGCAGATCGTCAATGTTCTTCTTTACATTGAGGGAAAAAGGGTTTCATTGCATCCACCCAAAGCAAGCACTTTTTTATTACTTAACTGACCGTCCCCCTCGCTTCCACCTATATACCATTCTGTGATGTACGTGAGCCTAATGCCTATCCCTCTCGATGAATGGGTTTTAGATTTTATTTGTTAGAATTCGAAATAATCCACTTGGGTTTCTTGACTAGTTTAACTAAATAAGTATTATTCGGGTTTGACATAAGTTTCAGCCTTCCCGAAATGTATGTTTTCCTTTACACTACTAAACTAAGACTCAGATGCATGGTATGAAATACCTAGTGAGTTGTGTATAAATGGAATATTTCGGACAGATGTGGAAGGCAAAGGGGGTATTTGAGCAGTATGGTCTCAATGCACTTGAACATACGACTTAACTGTTCAATATGTCTTTAATAACTAATATTTCCGTTCCTGAAAACAGGCGACGATAATCATAGTGAACACGAACAGGTCTTCCGAGATAGAAATATGGTTTCGCAATCTTCGATTTACGTCTGTATGGTATTTTATATCGTTCCGATGAGACTGAAATAAACCAAACTATTTTCATATATTCAGGAGTAATTCTCTTCAGTGTTGCTTACAGACAACCTGTTTTTCCACACGTCAGGGATGATATCGTAGTTAGAAAACCTTCATCTAACCGGGAGGTAGAGCACACTTTCCAGTATTCACCCCTCCTAACAATATTCATGAGGCTTTATATAACCAGTCCCGAGCACTTTAAACCCGTGACTTCTTATAATAATGTTTGCCGGAAATAAATGAAAAGGTATGGCTTACTTGTATAAAGACAGGAAAGACTTCATGTAAAGACTGATTGCTGAACAAAGAATATTCTTTGCGATAACTTCTTCATCAGGTTCTACAGTTATATATCCATAATAATGGGAGAATTGGGGTTATTAACAACATTAGTGTTTAAATAACATCGAATCAATAATATCAATAGATTACAGTTCAATAGCCTCTGTAAGCGTGATAATATGCGTCGACATAATTCTACACTGAATATAATACATATTAGGAAAAATAATACAGAATCCATGAATTTATAGGCTTGACAGAAGGCCAGGGCAGTAGTAATGGTCCGACCTGTTTCTTATGCACACAGGACACCGGTTGTTTCAGGCGGATCACAATAGCCTCTGCTGTTTGGAATCTTCGGTACCTGGACGCTTTCGGCAATTTGGTACCCGATAGATAATGGAGAAGGATTCTTCAATGCTAGCTTTGTGGCCGGTTTGCACCAGGTGGTGTAATAATGAGCTGCTGATGCTTTTCACTATACCTTTATTTAGCCGCACCGGTAGGTGTTCCTTCTCACGAAAGATCAAGTTCCAATACAACTCGCTCCACAAGTGCAGTTGAATTGGGCGATACAATTAGGTACTTCATCTTTCAATTGAGGAATCACAACCGGTCATGTAGAAAATATGACTTGTAGTTTACCAGCATTAAAAGTTCTCTAAATAGATTTTCTTAACTTGTTAGTAATTATTTCAATTGGTGCATCACCCTTGAACTGCAGTCGTATATATAAAGGCTTCTTATTTACAGATAGACAATAGCCCTTTTCTACTTTTTTGCTCATGTGTTTCCTGGTGAATTTTTCTGGATAGCTATTTTCAGTCATATACAATCAAGTTACTTAAACACTTGTGAATCAGACAAACAGTAAACTTTGGAACAGGCAAAGTGGATGGAACAGGTGAACAATAATCGCTGATAAAAGAACCTCATATTGAATAAATACTGGAAAGTAGAGTAGGTGTTCAATAAAGTCTAGTATTCATTGAAATCATAACTTAAACTATATATTTAACTTATGACATGCAATTCTATACTCTGATCCTTCAATTAAGTATTTGCTCATAAACGTTTCATATTATTTGCATTTATACCTATATAACTGCATGTAGTGTAAGTATTTTCCTTATCTGATATGTTTCTATACTCAAGTTAAAAAAGAAATGGATTTTTCTGAGGCATTACGTGATTAAATAGGAGTCACAGCTCGTTTGTTCAAACATCCGCTCATCTAATTTTCACAGTAAACTATCACTAGCCCTTACATAATATGTGCGTCGTTGGCACAGTGGTTAGGACTCTCGCCGACCATACACATGGTCCGGGGTTCGATCCCCTGCCGATGCACACCCGATATCTATGGTCGGCCTGCAAAATTTGGGCTACCGATATCCATGCTGAAAATTCCATACTTGTACTGAAAATACGGTGTCGCATCAAGCTGTAAACAAAATTTATATAATATATATATATAATTGTATATGTGTGGTGGTAGTCAATGGTAGAACGCTTCCCAACCACATAGGAGAAGTGGTTTCGATCCCCTGGCAGCACACTATCTAACTTTGCTTAGTAAGGCCGGAAAAGAAGGAAGGTTGAGCATGAGGCTAACAAGCCGACTCTGTCACCACTACTAAAACTTGGAAGCTTGGAGCTAAATATTCCACTCTTAACGAAAAGAAATTATGTGGTCATTCAGGTAGATTGAAGGTTATGTGGGTGGAGTTATCAGTAGAACTGATAACGTTGTTTAACACTAATAGTCAGAAAACAATTAAGATAATACTTTTTTCCAACGGACTTTACGATTATGCAACAAAATTATTGAACATAGACATTTCGTAACAATGTAGTTAATACATTTAAAGTTCAGACATGTGAATTAGTGGATACTAATCAAGATGATCATCATAATTGTAACAACAATAAATTCATACAATTGTTAATGTAATCTAAGCAGCCAATTGTTGTGAATGTTCGTCTTTGTGGGAGAACAGCGGGAAAATAACTATTGTCTCATTCCTATTTGAAAACAGAGTATTCAATTTCATCACAAGGTGTAAGACAGTTTGATAGTTAAGTGGTGTCTTTGGGATTGGAAACTATTTTTGTCGCATTAAGGCTGTAGGTAAAGCCCATGGCAAGGGGAAACAACTGTGGAAATCTTTTCTATGGACACACATTAGGTTGAAAAAAATTTAGTGGCAACTGTCTCAATCATCCTTATCAGTTGGTGTATAAACCTACAAAATCGAGGTGGCACCTTGTAATAGACGGTGGGAGCTTCGCTTTTTTCAGTCTTGAGCTCTGTATTCACTAGACGCACCAGCCAGAACTACTGATGATGGACCTTATTATCCCCTTTTCTAACCACTTCGGGCAATGCTCGTAATCAGGGGCAGTTGGGTTAACAAACATATTAATGTAATCCACTCAATTCCGATAGACCTCGTCAAATCAGGCAACTTAGAAACAACTCAGTCATTGTTATGCATGAGCTAGCATGTGGTTCGGGGTTCAGTCCTCGGCCGACGCACTCCTTCACCTCTCTAAGCCAGTATTGAGACTGGTAAAGAGGGGGGGGTTGGGCATGAGGCTGGCAACCCCATCCCGTAAAAATAAACACCACTGCTACCGAAACTTCAAAGCTCTAGCTTGAAGCCCTATGTTCCACGTAAAAAGATAGCCTATGATAACAACGAGGTTGATCACTGAATCTTTCTCCATCAAATCATCACCCAAGATGTGTAATAGGGATGGGACAACGCTAATCCCTGGTATATACAGAACTTTACTAAACAGGAAGGAGTACAATTACATAAAGTTCTGATATAGTGTGTGAGCTAAAAACTGTGCTTGGAAATTCATCCAGCTATTAATACTGTATTGTAATGACAGAAGATAAGAGAATTCGGTAACGGAATTATTTATTTGCAGCTCGACACACATATACGCAAAAAACGTCTACCATACATTAGAATCACAATTTGCATATATCATCGATGTTGTTCTTTGTCTTCCCGTCATGTTTTCCATGTTGTTTCTCAAGCATCGTTCATTAAAGCCATCTCTCCGCCATTCGGTATGCTGATATACATATTTACATCTGCATCTATATGGCAGTAGCTCATGTCACAGTATTACTTCGTGTCACATCCAATAAGCTTATATAATTTGTAATATCAACCGGCTTATTCAATAAGTCGCTTACAATGGCAGTGGGGATGAGAATTCTGACTAAACTTAATTTTGCTAAATCTATCTACAATCTGAACCAACGGCTTCTCTTGATTAATTCACTTGTTACTATACAGCTTTCATTTCCTGGATGCAATACACAGTCCTGGAAGCGTATGATCTTCAAATCTCCCTTAACGACTGACTAAATTTATCAGCAAAGTGCGAACTTTTTCAGTAATTTCTGACTTCTCTAGCGAAATACTGAAAAATCTAGATTGATGCTTATAGCCTAGATATTCGAACTGGTGGTTTTCTCGTTTAAAAGGTCTGTATTTCGTAGCAGTTGATTCGAATCTTTCCTTAAGTAAGCATCTATTTTGACTTAAGCCATTCTATCTTTAGACACTTATTCTCAGATGGTCAAGATATTCTCCCGCCGGAACAGAATTCACCAGTGCGTGAATAATATACCACCTCTGTTTGTGCCTGCTCTTTCACGTGCCGTTGTGGACGGTATAAGCGAGTCTTCCAGATTCGCATAGCTGAACATTATCAGTTACATCGATGAAAACTGAATACAGAACAACGAAATCTTGTTTTTGTGAACATATTGAGTCAGGTCACTTGACCTCGTGTGATTTATCTTTTGAAGTGCTCTACAGAGCTGAATTCAACATTCTATAAGTCTACGTTTTCATCACTTATGTATATCTGAAGCACTAGCCAAACACGAAAGAAAAAACGCAAACAGTGTATTCAAAATATCTTTGCTAAGCCTCTTTCATTTCCTTGGTCCTAATGATTTTATGGTTAACTTCAACCTACTTCCACTTATCTTCTCTTTCATTATCATATTCTTAATTCCATTTTGCTTTTGACAGCAGTTGACCCACTTTAAA